GGCGGGGGTTAAAGGAACTTGGAAGACCCTTTCCTAAAAAGACGAAAAAAAAAAAAAAAAAAAAAAAAAAGGAAAAGAAAAGGAAAATCTAACATATGGTACAGTTGCTGTACTCAGCTGGGGGAAATGCCCCTGCAGCACTTACCCCCAAAATACAGTTGTTTAAACAAAATGGAACTTTATTTTCTTCCCAGTAAAAGAAATCAGGAAGTTGGCAGGCAGGGCTTGTAAGGTGGTGCCACTGAGGCCCCTTGTGTCATCCGTCCCACCATGGTGAACCATGGCTCCCATCCTGGAGGCAGTCTCAAGATTCATTATGACAACTGGGATCCTGGCCATCACACTGGAGTTCTAGACTGCAGGAAGAAGGAAGGAAAAGAAGAAGGAAGAGCCAATGAGCATTCTCGCAACTAGGTCATCAGCCATTGCACAGCTTTTCTAGAAGTTCTGTGCTTATCCATTAAAGACATGCATTGACTATCACAGTGGGCCAGGCACTGGGACAGAATAATAAAAATGAAAAAGCGCCCCTGGAACAAGGGTCCTAGGAGGAGATAGAACAAAGTAAGTTTAATCTAATATAGGTACGAGAGAGTATTAATCACACAGCAGAGATGGGTGAGGTGACCACTGGGTAAGAAACACAACAGCTCTGTGTGTGTGTGTGTGTGTGTGTGTGTGTGTGTGTCCACATGCACGTGCATGTACACATGCATGTGGAGGCCAAAGGCCAGCATCATGTGTCTTCTTCAGTCACTTCCCACCTTAGTTTGTGAAACGGGGTCTCTCACTGGATATGGAACTCATCAATTTGGATAGGCTGGCTGACTCCAGTGATGCACCTGTCTCCGCCCTACCCAGCACTGGGGTACAAGCATGTATCACCCGGGCACTGAAGTCAGGTCCTCACACTCATGTGGCAAGCTCTTCAACTGAGCCATCTCCCCAGCCCCATGTATTGCTCAGAGAGAATGTCACCAAGAAGGCAACACTGAACCAAGTCCTGAAGAAAGTGAAGGGGCCAGGGGGCACTGTGCACAGAGGCTGATGTGTCTGGAGAAAGTCAACAAAGGGAGAACAGGAAATGATGTCACAGAGGAGACCACAGGGCAGCTCCGCAGAGCCTTGGAGGTGCACAAGGCTTTTGTCTCCTCCAAAGGAGATAGGAGGCCTCACTTGTGTTTTGCATCTCATTAGGGCAGACCTAGCTGCCTGGAGCCTGGGAATTGTAGGACTCAGTTGGTGCCTGGAAACTGTCAATCAAATCCAGTCTCCATCATTGAAATTGAAGGGGGAAAAGGATAGTGGGGACCACAGCTAATTCTGATTCTGTGTGAACTCAGTTCCGGTTAGTTACTCTGGACATCAAATGAGACTTGACTCACTATGAATTTATGGTGACAGTTCATCATATCTTATTGATTCACATGTGGATTACCCAGTGGCCATTTGAATGCTGGCCATGGCCTCAGGCTTAGGAAGAGCGCAGATTTGATGCAGGGGTCAGAGTAATGCACCATGGGGCACGTGAAGAAGCCATGGAGGGGCCTTTGCCAAATGAGTGAAGGTCCTTTGGGCCCATGTGAATTCCAGCACTCTGGTAGAGCCAGGGCCGCCGCACACTCAGCTGTGGAGAAAGACTTGAAGAGTGGGGACATTCAAAGAGCTCAAATGCAAGGGTGACTAGACATGACAGGATTATAGTCCCTCAGGGCCCTGTCCCATCACTCAACAGGCTGATTGGCAGCTAAGCAACAGCCTCAAGCAATGACTGCCATCTGTACAGGTAGTCTGAAAGGTACCCAGGTGACAGGGACAGCCCTCAGCAAAATTCCTCCTGAACCATTCATCTCTGAACTTTGATCCCTTCTCTTCCAGCTCTTTCTTTCTTAGCTCTGTTTTCTCAACACCAGCCCTTCTGCAAAGGTGGCTAGCATGTTAACAAGCCGCCCAGCCCTGTTGCCCCACACCCCAGCAAAACTCTAACCAAAACCTGAGGGGCAGTGACAGGTTCTTGGGTGCCTCAGCGGTGTCCTGCCACTGCCCAGCCCCGATGATAGGACTGAATAAAGTGGGTGAGAGCGAGGGCTGTCCCCCAGGACTGCTTGAGATTTCCAGCTAGTGGGAAGGAAGGCTGTAGTCTATGCCTTCCTTCAGAGACCCAGGCCCCAGCTGTTACTTCCAGCCCTCAGGTAATATAGGGCACAGTGCAGAGGGGCATTGAAAGAGTAGACCACTTGGGCACATTCACACTATACCTGATTGGGAAGAACCTATGGCAGTGGCTGGATAGAAAACACTGTTGCTTTGATAAATTGATGAGCACTGTGAAGTATCCAATGTGAAGCCTTACAAACCATTATCAGAGCCTTTGACATCGGACATCAAGGGGGACTGGGAGAACCCAGCCTGGAAGTTGGGGTGAGGTTTCCCACTTCCTCCTTGGATCTAGGTATTAGTGCCCAGCACTCGGAAGTATGTGGGCCTGTGGAACAGATATCAGCTCCACCCCAGCCCAGCAGAGTGGAGGCAAAAGATGAAGAGGAAAAGAGCCATCTCCCAAAACAGACTGTCACCAGCTCCCTAGCTGGAGATAGAAAGCCCAGAAGAGCTACCCTGTGCTGGAGCTGGGGTCAGAGAAGAGCCAGGGGCTGGGCCTGAACCAGGATCTGGGCAGGGCCGCTGGCTCACTTGAAGCAGGACAGCACTCGTTCCCCTTGGAAGGGGCTGGTAAAGAAATGAAAAAGAACCCCCAGAGTTATGATCTTACTTCCTCCTGTGTAGGTCACAGCAAGAAGTAGGGGAGAACGGGAGTTTCACACCTCAAAATGACTTCCAACCTTAGATTTCTGACTAAATTGAGAGATCTTTCTAGACCAGAAGGGAACTGGACCAGCTGCCATGAGTTCCTCTATGCTCCTCATAGAAACAGGTCACTAACAAGTCCTTTGTCTGTCTATCTATCTGGTTTTCCAGAAAACCCACGAGAGTCATGTTTTGACCCTGGTTCCATCAAGAATGGCACTCGAGTGGGCTCCGACTTGAAGCTGGGCTCCTCCATCACCTACTACTGCCATGGGGGCTATGAGGTTCAGGGTGTCTCCACTCTGAGCTGTATCCTGGGGCCTGATGGGAAACCAGTGTGGAACAACCCAAGGCCAATTTGCACAGGTAGGACCAGCCAGGAGCCAGAGGGGTCGGTCAGAGGACTGAGGGATGTTGGGGATGCTGGCACAGAAGGAGCTGCGGTGGAGGAGAAGCAGGACATAGTCCTCACAGGTGGCTCCTGTGGGAAAGCAGCAATAGAAAGAGGGACAACCCAGGAGACCTACCCTGTGCTGGGGCAGGGATCAGAGAGGGTCCAGGGGCCATGATTCATCTGCTCATTACCAGTAGGTTTGCCACGTTCCTCTGGGTGCTCATCTATCTTGATCACATGGTATCCTCACCCCTGTGCAGACAGATGCTCAACTGAGTCCTCTCCAGACATACCACCAGGGAAGTAGATCAAGAGGGGGAGCTAAGGTGGCCCTGGGCTTGCTCTCAAGGCTGAGGACATTGAGGGGTCATTTGTACAAAGCAAGGCTACAGAGAAGGCTAGGTCGCACAGAGTCCTAACAAGAGAGTGGGAATGAGTGCCAGGAACTCCAGCATGTGGGAACCACCCAAGTTCAAAAGTACTGAAGCCAAGGCTGGAGAGATGACTCAGCAGTTAAGAACACTGGCTCTCTTGAAAAGGACCCAGATTCAATTCCCCGCACCCATGTGGTAGCTAACAACCATCCATAACTCCAGTTCCAGAGGATCTGACCCTCCCTTCTGACCTCTGCAGGTTTTGTATAACACAGGTGCACTTATATACATGCAGGCAATGCACTCATACACATAAAATAAATAAATAAAATATTTTTAAAGGGGTCTGGAGAGATGACTCAGCGGTTAAGAACACTGGCTGTTCTTGCAGAAGACCCGGGTTCGATTCCCAGCACCCACATGGCAGCTAATAACCATCCATAACTCCAGTTCCAGGGGCTTAGATGGCCTCTTCTGTCTTCCAAGGGTATTGCATGACACAGATTCACTTACATACATGCAAGCAATGCACTCATACACATAAAATAAAAATAATAAATATTTTAAAATATAGTGAAGCCCTTTTGCCTGAATGAGCACCAAGGGCCAGCACCAAGACCCAACCCTTGCAGAAGTTGGCACCAAGGATGGGAGCAGAAGGTAACTGGGCCGGGTGGCTCTTAGCAGGTTAGTGTGGAAGAAGAAGCTCCATCATGCCTCCTGCTCAGGAGATACTGGCCACCGTGGCATCTCAGCCACGGGGACCACAGCCCATTTCTAAGCCATACAAGTCAACAGGAAAGTCAATATTGACACTTAGAAGGCAAGGCTGATGTGTGCCCAGGAGGGACCTTGGCTGGGTTTCAGGCCGGGGATGAGTGGATATCCTGGGAAGGGCCAGAGGCTCAGGCTGGGAGAAGGGAGGTCACCAGGTCACCAGGCCTCTCTCGCTTCTCTTTCAGCTCCCTGTGGTGGACAGTATGTGGGTTCAGATGGAGTGGTCTTGTCCCCAAACTACCCCCAGAACTACACCAGCGGACAGATCTGCTTGTATTTTGTCACCGTGCCCAAGGACTATGGTAACATTTCCCTGTTTTGCTTTCTGTTTTCTGGTTCCTCCCCATTTATTCCAAAATGATCACAGCTCGGGCTTCTCATAATTATCCAGTCCAATTGGGAGGACAGGCAGGACAGCAGAATGTGCTGGCGGAGACACTCCTGAGCAGAGAGGAAAGAAGGGCTCGAGCAGGCATGCTAGGGAAGAACAAGGGTGAGGAGCTGATGAGGAAGGTGGGTGCACCCAAGCGCCTCAGCACAGCACAGACTGAAGGGACTGGATGTTCTAAAGATCAAACCTGTGAGAGACCCAGCAAGAAGTGACCCAGGAGCAGGGAGAAGGGAAGGGATGGGATGGAGCTGGGCTTGAAGGCACAGGTTAAGAGACAGACTGGGAACCACATCCCTCCATGAACCTCAGCAGCTATAGGTAGGAGAAACAAGAACCCCAGGATGCAGATCTCTGCCCTGAGAAGCCAGAGAAACCCCCAGACTCCAAGACACCCAGGCTAAGAAATCAGGATTAGCACCTGATTGGTAGTGGGGACATGCAAGGGCCCTGCCAGCCCCAGAGGATTTCAAGGAGATCCTAAAAGTCAACCAGTTGCCCAGCTTGAACTGTTTCAAAACACAGTTTATGTTGAATTAGCAGAAGACGTCAAAGTACCCTGACCATCTAGGAAAACTGGCTGCTGCTTCTCAAAGATAAGATGGGATGAGCACAGAGCAGTACTTGGGCCCAGTGTGCCTACACTCCTAGCTGTGTGCACACACATTGCCCCACATGCCACTGTGATAGGAGCTTAGACCTACAGGATCCCACTGAGGACAGTCATGAAGGATTGTCCAATAAGACCCATTGTCCAGTCAAAGGCCTTAATATTCAGCACACAGTGATGTGCTTGAATCCTTCCTGTGGCAAGGAGCTCAGATGTTTGCCAGTTACCTATTCCCAAGCTTGGCCAGTATCACAGAGCTAAAAGCTGTCCATAGGCACTGGCTGCTAAGGGACTGTGGTCCAGGCAGCTGCTTTTTGCAGTGAGGCTGAGCCCTGAGCCTGGGAAGAGGGATGGCCTTTTCCCTCTAGGTGGGCAGCTTGGGTCTTGGTGCTGATGTCATGCTGCCAGAGAGCTTTCTGTGATGTGATCTGTCAGAAGTGGCCTAGCTTGCCCTGTCATGCTGTACCATGACCCTAGAAGTTAAATAACACAACCTGAGATTATTTTGTTCAGCTGCTTGTTCAGTGTGTACTTGGGTGGGGAGAGGCACCAAAATGCACAGTCCATGAAGGCGGGAACTCTGTGTGTCTTGCTCACCTCTGTGGGGACAGCAGGCTCATTCAACAGCCCAGGGCCCATTTTCAGGGTCTAGACATCTTCCCTTCTCCCTTGCTCTGACCTCTCCTCCTTGACACATGGGTCAAGAACTAAGAATCTTCCTTCTGCTGCTGTAATGTTTTCTTATCGTGCAGCCAACACACAACATACAACACACATGACATATATACTACATACACAACACATAGCAAAAGACAGTACATACAACATATATGCACAACACACACACAAACACAACCTATACAAGCATACACTGAGGCCCTCCTTTATATGAATTGAAGGCTCTGAGCCAAAACAGGGAAGGTTCTACCTACCCCTGCCTCTAGTGTACCAGGCCAACTGCCAAATGGAATAGGCAGAATGAACCAGATCTGGCAGATAGGTGGATGGGAGCTGTGTCCACAGTGCCCAGTGGTGACCTCCATCAAGCAGTAACTTGAAGAGAGGGGAAGGCTGAGGACACTCCTGCCATACACAGCGGGAGACCTGAACTCCCATCAAAAGGGGTTCATGATGGTTCCTTCGCCAGACTGGTTGAATGATCTTAAGAATTCTCTGAACCTCTGAGCCTCTGTTTCTTTATCTATAAAATATGAATAATCTCTAGAAAAGACATGGTCATAGAAGATGATGCACACAGTCAGTGTGGTCCCCACCACCTAGTAAATGCCAGGTACATGCCATGTCCTTTCTTGGGTGAAAAGGGGTGGAGATAATGCCTGTTCTGTAGATGGTTGTTCCCGCCTCAGGGGCAGGCTGCTGCTCCCCTGCCTTGTTTCTCTTAACCGCATGAGAGCTGGGGACCAGGGCTGACTTAGTCAGCTGAGGCTTTGAAGCAAAGCTGGAGGGGAGAGACAGGGTCTTGAGATCAGGGAAGATGGGGGATAATACTGAAAGCCCTTTTGTGTCCTCAAGTAGCTGCTGTGGCTGCTATGTGGAAAGGACTAAGGAATAAGGTTGGCTCAGTCCACCTCCACCAGCCTGACCTTGAGTGCAGGCCTGGATGTTGTCTTGACCCCTGTGGAGAAGACCAGCCAGGGCCTTCCCAGCTTCCCATGTCCTTATGCCCAGTGTCTAGCCAATGTGCTAACCCTGTAGCAGAAAGGCCAGCAAACCATTGGCCCTTGAAGCAGCAGCACCTTCTCCCACTGCCCTTCTCCTGCCCTGAGGCCAGCTGATCCCCACCCATCCCCATCCCTGGACTCCAGCCTGCCCACCTGCTCTCTACACCGAAATCTACATGTGTCTCATTCACAGTGGTGTTTGGCCAGTTTGCCTTCTTCCACACGGCCCTCAACGACGTGGTGGAGGTACATGACGGCCACAGCCAGCACTCCCGACTCCTCAGCTCGCTCTCAGGCTCCCACACAGGTACCCAGGGATTGGGAGAGGGGGGAGGCTGGACCATCCGGGACCTGCTACCAAAAGCAAGGCCCTGTAAGCACTGTGGTCACAGGTAGACCCTTATGGCCCATAATATGCTGGAATATCTTCACATCAGAAGGGCCACACATAACAGGGAACCACCCTCACACACAGAATTGCATCTTCCTGTCAGCTCATACATAGACCCCATCTTTTCATTATAAGCACGTTGAGTTTTTGTTGTAGAAAATTCAGAGGTGAAACAAAATCATTGTAAGGGAGAATTTTAAATAAAGACACTCACAGAAAGAACTACTAAGAACTAATATATTCTCTTCCAATCTTCAGATCTCGTTAGACAACCTTTTACATATTTTATTGAAATTATTCACTGTGAGCATTCCTCTGCCATTATGTTTCTCTTTTATAATAAGGTTTTTAGTGCTACTTTGTAGACTCTCCTATAGTTAGTTAAGATTTGTGTAATGGATTTGCTAGCACTGCACATTCCCTTTGTTTCTGTTTTTATGTATAATAACTCACGGTATTAAACACAAATCTTTGTACATATCCCTGACTGCACCTTAGCAAATCTGAGTGGCCATGCCAAAGGATACGGTGAGACCATTAGGGTTTTTATATAAAGTGTCAAATAGCTCTGATAGAACGATCCTGCTATTCTGTTCTCCAGTCGTGAGAGGGCGTGCTCTGTTTTCACAAGAGCAAGGTAATTAAAAACAGACACAAAACAAGAGCATCATCAATTTGAAACGTCAAAATACATCTCCTCTTCTAATTTGCTTTTTTATATTGCTGGTTAGTTGGTAACCTTTTTATAATGTGTTTATGGGCCCATGCATTGCAAATTTGTTGCAATTTGTGTTTGCAAATTGGTGTCTTGTTTGCAAATTTGTGTCGATTTTCCTGTTAGCATTTTGTTTTTTTATTTATGAAGTAGAGACCCACAGGACTGTAGGCAGTATATATTATATATAATAAAATCTTTGTCTCACTTATATGCTATAAAAATCTTTCCCCTCCAGTTTGCTGTTTGCCACTCAATTTTCTTCAGGGTATGTTTTTAACATCAGAACATTTAAATTGGTGTCTTGTTTGCAAATTTGTGTCGATTTTCCTGTTAGCATTTTGTTTTTTTATTTATGAAGTAGAGACCCACAGGACTGTAGGCAGTATATATTATATATAATAAAATCTTTGTCTCACTTATATGCTATAAAAATCTTTCCCCTCCAGTTTGCTGTTTGCCACTCAATTTTCTTCAGGGTATGTTTTTAACATCAGAACATTTAAATTTCCCTTGATAGTAAATCTATGATCTTTCTTTTAGAGTTCACACCTTTGTTTTTATGCTGATCAACTGAATATTCCTCTGGGTTTTCTGTTTCTTCTTTTTAGTTTCTTTGCTTTGTCTTAATTCCTTTGGAATTTAGTTTTTTATTTGTTTAATGCAGAGACTCTAGACTAACAAATTAAGTTAATCGGTTATCCTGATAAAATTTCAAAACACGAAATTTACATATATGAAATTTTTATGGAGTGTTTTTCTATACTTTTTAATCTGTTCTCTCCAAGTGTGTATTTATTTCTGTACGGGTTTTAGTTATTACTGAACTATAATAGTGTTTAATATAACTTTAAAGATTTATTTATTTTATTTTATGTATGTGAATGTTTTGCCTGCATGTATATAAGTGCACTACATGCATGCTGTTCATACAGAGGTCAGAAGAAAACATCAGATCCCCTGCAGCTGGAGTTACAGACAGTGGTTAAGCCTCTGTGTGGGTGCTGGGAACAGAACCTGGGTCCTCTGCAAAGCAGCAAGTGCTCTAAACCACTGAGCTATCTCTCCAGCCCCTATAATAACTTTAAATACACAGTCCTATCTATCCTCATGGGCATTCTTTGATTTTATTTTTATTTTTGAAACAAGGTCTTTCTATGTAGACTAGGTTGGCCTCAAACTCCAGATCCTCCTGTCTCCCAGACCTATACTACCACAACCAGCTGTTAGGATTTTTTTTTTAATTGATCATTCTTGCTTGCTTTTATCTCCAAATAAAATCTAGGAATACTATGTCAACTTAAAAAATTGCATAGGGCTAGGAATACAGCTCAGTCGAGAGAGTGCTTGCCCGGTGTGCACAAAGCCCTGGGTTCAATGCCTAGCACCATGTAAGTTCAGGATAGTAGCACAGACCTGTGATTCTAGCACTTGGGAAGTAGAACCACAAAGATCAGAAGTTCAAGGTTGTCCCTGGCTGCATAGCAAGTTCAAGGCTGCGTAGCACATGAAACCTTGACTCAAAAACCAAAAAAAGTCGGGCCTGAAGAGATGGTTCAGCAGTTAAGAGCACTGGCTGTTCTTGTAGAGGACCTGAGTTTGACTCCCAGCACCCACATGATAGCTAACAACCATCCATAACTCCAGTTCCCAGGGGAATCTGATGCCCTGTTCTGACCGCTGGGGGTATTGTATGACGTGGCATTACACTTACACACATGCAAGCAATACACTCATACCCACAAAAACAAAAATAATAAATAAAGTATCTTTACAAAAAACAGAAAAAAGTAATGCATCAAAATTATCACTGGAATTTCACAAAACTTACGGATTATATTGGAGAGAACGTACATCTTTATATCAATACATGTTCCCATTCAGGAATATGATGTGTCTCTCCATTTATCTTTTGTACTTTATCCTTTGGGAGAGAAGTTGTCAATGTCATTTAAAGCAGTAGTAACTTTGTTGTTAACTTTATTACCAGATACGTCATCAGGGTTTTTAGACATTTCAGTTGCTAATTCTAAGGCCAGCTTTTGGTTTTTCTTGTTTTGTTTTTTTGTTTTTGTTTTTGTTTTTTGCCATCTCCCTTTTGTAAACCCGTTGAACTGTTCACAATCGTGCCAACACCACTGCCTAATTCCTGGCTTCTAGGTGCTACACAATGTCATTTGCAAATAAATGTGCTTCCTATCCTAGTCCCTCCTCCTCAGTAGTTTCCCTTTATTTCTTTCCACCGTTGCTCGTCTATTCAGGTCTATTACTTTAATTTCAATGTTGATATTTTATCTTTTAGTAAAATTCATTTCCTAATTTCTTTTAAAGTTAGCAATGTAATTTATATAATATGCTGTGATAAGTTTTAATAGCCCTTGTTCCGGGCTTGTATTCCCTGCCTTTGTAGCACTGAGTGCTGAATCTGTGGTCCCCCATTTTTCTTAGTTGTGCTGGAGGTTTATGGGGTTTTGTTGGTTTTTTTTTTAAATTTTTATTACTACAGTGTATCAGTTCTTCTGTGGAGTTTGTTATTTTCTAATTAGCTCTGCTTTTATTTTGTAATCTCTCTGTCCCTTTGTTTCTCCAAATTATTGTGTTCTTCTTACTGTAACTTCCTAAATAGAGAGCTTTGCTTGTTCTTTTCCTGGTGTAATAAAGAGCTTGCAGAGGCTGGAGAGGTGGTTCAGCAGTTAAGAGACCTGTCTGCTGCTACAGACCTGGGTTTGGTTCCCAGAACCCACATGGTGACTAACAACTTCCTAACTCCAGTTCCAAGGGATCTGACACCCTCTTCTGACCTCTGCAGGCATCGTACCTCATGAGTACGCTTACATACATGCAGGCAATATACTCATACACGTAAAATAAAAATAAGTAAATAAAATACTCTTTAAAAAGGTAAAAAATAAAGAGCTTGCTTACAGCCAGGTGTTCAGTTTGTGCCATCAATTTTGATACATGCTATTTTCACACTCAGTGCTTTCTGCTTAGTCTTGACACTCATTTTGAAGAGCTGATTAAGAATGTCTCTTCTGGCCTGGGAGACAGCATAGAGGGTAAGAGAGGACCTGGTGTGCAAGCATGAGGACCTGGGTCTGAACCCCCAGTACCCACGTAAAAAGTCAGGCTTGGCCACGTGCACACATGTAACAGTGCTGTGGGGGATGAAGACAGGAGGATTGCTGACTGCCAGCCTAGCTCCAGGTTCAGTGAGAGAACCTTGCTCAAGAGAAAAAGACAGAGTGATAGAGCAGGAGCCAACATCTTCCTCTGGCCTGCACATGTGTATGAAATTCTATAAGTATTAGAGAAGAATGTTCTCTGTCGGGTGGAGAGGGCAGACAGCAAGAAGGGAGAGGTCAGGCTCTGCAGTCCTGCTGGCCGGACTTGACTGCCCTGCTTGGCTATGAGACTTAAAGGCATAGTCCTCAACCTCTGTGAGCATCAGTTTCCTCATCTGAAAATGTACGGAGCAAGTTCTGCCCACTAAAGTTGTTGGTAGGAGTGAGCGAGCTTGGAAATAACTATGAGTCCAGTCTAATTTTATTATTCAGATCCATCTGTTGGGGTTCTCCACCAAATTATTTTTCAATACCACCACCTCACTCAATGCCAATCAAGATCTCTCAGGGTAAGATGGTTTTCATACAGAGAGAGAGAGAAAAAGAGAGAGAGAGGATAGGTAGGTAGATAGATAGATAGATAGATAGATAGATAGATAGATAGGTTGATAGATGATGATAGATGATGATGATGATGATAGACAGATAGATGATAGATAGAAGATAGATAAATGATAGATAGATGATTGATAGATAGATAGAAGAGAGATAGATAGATTGATAGATGATAGATAGATAGATAGATAGATAGATAGATAGATAGATAGATAGGTAGATGATTAGATAGATAGATAGATAGATAGGTAGATGATTGATAGATAGATAGATAGATGGTAGATGATAGACAGATGATTGATAGATAGATAGATGATAGATAGATAGACAGATAGATGATAGATAGATAGATAGATAGATAGATAGATGATAGATATGGCCTATAGATAAACATAAATGGGTATATATTTATATAAAACCAATATAAAAGGAGGAAGGAAGGAAGGAAAGAAGGAACAAGGAAAGATGAAGAAAGGAAGGAGGAAGGAAAGAAGGGAGAGGAAACAAGGAAGAGAGGGAGGGGGAAGGAACATGGGTCAGCAGACAGCAGATGGAGGGAGGGAGAGATTTAGCATCTTGCTCCTCACTTAGAGAAACACAAATAATGACGCACACTTGAACTGACAAGAGTAAACTGTGCCCCTGTTCCTGAGATATGTTGGGTTTAAGAAAAATGATGCTCTTCGGCATCTTGGTCTTAGTCTTGTGTCTGTTGTAGAGGTAGTTGGAAGTGTTGTGCTGACCTGTCTTCCACTACAGCTGCGATGTCTGGAGGAGGGCTGCTTGTATGTCTACCGATTTCTTCTCCATGTTTGCTGATGTGTCTTTCCTCAGTTCCTCCAAGAGTCTTGGTCTTCAGAGAGGAAGACGGCTTACTTTTTGCAAGTGAAGTGTTTGGGTTGTGTCAGTTCATCTGATTCGGTCTCTCTGGAGACTGGCGTTATGATTTTGGTAGGCTTTCCTTCCTTGTTTGCTTTTCCACTCATACCTGACCTGTCTCTGGTCTCCAGTTTGTCATTTGTATATTTGAGCTTTTATGCTAATGGTCTTAGTAAATACTTTTTAAATTTATGAGCTTCTTCCCCAAGGACAAGTTTTAACACTGGCCTTTGGTCATCGCCTCACTGACAACGGTCATCTGGGACCAGCCGTCCTTCCCTGGCAGAGTCTATCCCTGTTAATTTTTAGTCTCTCTCCTTTAGTTCTTGAGTATGGCTCACAACCATAACCACAGGGCTCTCTGTCGCCTTGCATGTATAAGAATGCCTTCCTTCTGACATATCACATAAGTGACAACTTGATTGCAAATCAAATTACTGGGTCACACACTTTCTCGCTCAAAAACTGCATGAATTGTTCATGAATTTTATTTCAGCATTTCACATAACAGACAAATGGGGGTCCAAGCTGAGTCCTCGTCCCTGTGAATTGCCAATGTTTTCCTATCCATAGGAAATTTTTTAATTTGAAAATTAAGCAGCGCACTGGGCTGCGCTGTGGGAGTTTTTTCACTCGTCACATCTGGCACTCGACAAGCAGCTGTGGCCTGAGTCTCAGTCTTCATAAAGGCATCTTTCTTCTTAAATAACCTCCCCCTTGCTATGTCTGCTTAAGGGACTTTCCCCCTCTGCCCCCGACATAGCTTGTCATTTGTCTTGTGGCTTTGACCTCTTTTTCCTTCCCCCATAGATTCTGAAGGAATGCCCCAATTTCATCTCCACACACTGCACAACCCACCAGCCGTGTGTCAGGGTGTCTCTCCATGTTTGAGCATCACCTCCCTATAGCCTTTGTTGAAGTCGGATCCTCCCTCTGGTGTGTCTTCCTCCTCTGACTTTGCAGATGACGATACTCAGTTCATCTTTGTGTTAAGCATGAAATGTTTACCTGCTCTCTGCTGTATTTCACATGAAAATCTTTGCTTTGACTTCTCCCTGTAATCCCCTTCCCTTAAAACTTTACTTCTGGCCAGTGATTTTGCTTTGTGCTTTTCCCAGGGGAGGAAGGTCTTCATGTGCTTAGGATTGAAGCCACCTGGGCTCTGGAAACCATCACTGGGGCCCTTGTTCATGACTGTTGGGTCAGATGACCAAAAGCCAGGAGAGAGAAGGTTAGAGGCAGAGCTGAAAGGAGCAGTGCTAATGGGGGGCATGGCTTTGTCTTCCCAGGTTCTTTCTGTTTCAGCAGCCAGAAGTTAGCTGGGGCAACAAATCTTCCTCAGGACCAGTCACTGCAGCCACATACCAATCTAAATGTGCTGAGCAAAACGCTCTCTACCATCCCTGTGGCTGATGGCATCTTGGGGTTTCTAGCAATGGGCCTGCCCAACGACTCCTTGGTGGTCTGAACTCCAGCCCTCTCCCCAGTGGAGACACAACCTAACCCTCTGTCGCTCCTACTTTTCTAGCTTTCTGTTTTGAAGATAGAATCCATTCTCGATGTTGCAAAGGAGCATCATGCAGAGCGACCATGCCGCCACATTCCCCCATGGGCTTCCATGGGACTGTGCTGCACAGCTGCAGGTCCAGTTGGTACAGTCCCGCCCTCGCCAACCACACCACACCAAACAGATCTAAGCTGCCCATGCCGCCTCTCCTCAGAGCCCCGTGTCCATGCAGGCTTCCCCTTACCTTTTGTGTGATGTTGTTGGAAGATAATGCGTCCTGGTGTGTGTCCGACAGCCCCGCCTTCCACTGGGCTGTTTCTGCATAGCTAAAATTTACGCTCCGTATTACGCTCAAAGGTGGACCAAGTTGGAGCCATAAATTACTACTCTGCTTCTCTATCACTTCAAGGGAGGTCTGGGAAAGGCCACTTGCTTTCAGATGATGGTGTATCCTTCCTTCCCCAAGCCAGTGCCTATTTAATTATTTTTAATGAGCTTGATGTTAGTTTTCCAAGTAAACCACCAGTCAGCGTAGTAACTTTAGCAATGCCCCCCTTTCTGGGCAATTCGTGCAGTGTTTCTGAATCTCTCTGTCTTGCTCTGTGAATGAGAGTGCTGAGCTCTGCATTTCCAGCTTTACAATGGCCACGGGTCAAGGGAGAACATAGATGCAAAAGTCATCTCTAAACTTTGCTTTGTTTGTAGTGTTGTGTTTGAAACAGTGTCTCATGTAGCCCAGGCTGGCCTCAAGCTTACTATCTATCTAAGAATGACATTTAACTTCTGATCCTCTTGAGTCTGCCTCCCAAATGCTAGGACTATAGGAACGTACCACGATGCCCAGTTCATGCAGTACTGGGGATGGAACTCAGAACTTGTGCACGCTAGGCAAGCACTCTACCAACTGAGCTACATTCCCAGACCCCGTCTGTAAGCTTTCCAGTGTAAGGTGTAGAACTGTGATGCTGGGTTTCAGTGAGTCTGGAAGATGGAAGGAGTCACTGTGTGCAATGCGGCTGCCTGTTGAACTGCTGAGACCTGGTGCCGGGCTCACTGTATTCCTTTCTTCCTCGCTCCTCTCTGCAGGAGAGTCACTGCCCTTGGCCACCTCCAATCAAGTTCTCATTAAGTTTAGTGCCAAAGGCCAAGCACCAGCCAGGGGTTTCCACTTTGTCTACCAAGGTATGTAAGAAGTTCAGAGGTCATCTCGGTGACCTTGTGACCTTTTGCCCCCATCGATACCTCTCTCTCAGGACGTTTGGTGGCCAATGACTAGTGTGGGGAACAAGTCCCTGATGTTCAATTCAATTTTATACATCTGTTTTCCCAATCAACATTTCTTGGACCAAGTTCTATATTGAATGAGGAAGAAAAACTGATGCGGGAAGTTAATTCCTTTCCCCACTGCCCCCCTCTGTCCTACCTGCACTCAATATGTGGTGCTGCCCTAATGCAGTTGAGGGCATCCTAGTCCTCTTACCCCATGGAGCTTGGTTTGGTCTTCAAGGCACAGTAAAGATATGGGGGACACACAGGGTCTGATTAGAGGGGTAGACACTGGCCATTCCACGTCTTGCAAACCCATTTGCTCACCTGTGCAACGAGGGTAATACTAGTATCTCACAATTGGATTAAAAGAGGGTCTGCAATCAAGCAGCTAATCAGTTTGTTCTTGTTTTTAACTGGCCCAGAAGGGAAAGTTCTAGAGTATCCTTTGCTTTTACCTGCAGGCCCCAACCTCCCCTTGCCCAGGAGAACAGCCACATTGGTAGGACCCTCCCCGCTGCCCGGGAGGCCCTGTATTTCCCTGTGTGGGTGTAATCTCACCTGCCATCCTTGGGTCCCACAAGTCACCCCTGTGGTCAGGTCACAGTGGGCCCTGGGCAAGGGCTTATGATACCCAGGGAGGAGAGGCCAGTGGCAGGCCAATGGCATGGAAAGTGGAAGGGAGGGGGTATTGTCCCTGTCAGGGACTGTGGGACCCTGATCAGGAAGGAGCATCACTAAGCCTAAAATCTGGACTTAGGGGTCTCTCACTACACTGTATGATTTCTATAACCTGGGCCACAACATTGTGTGTCCAACAGTGTGCCTCAAAATGGGCTCCACCCTGAAAAGTTCCCACACCAGCCCTGAAAAAGTGCCCTGAACTCCCAGGGTTCCCCTCCAGGTGTCTTTGCTCCAGTTCTGTCATGCATCACTAGGCCAGATTCTCTGAGGGCAAAGCCCACTCAGTGCCCTTGTCCCCACAGCGGTTCCTCGAACCAGTGCCACACAGTGCAGCTCTGTGCCTGAACCCCGTTATGGCAAGAGACTGGGCAGTGACTTCTCGGTGGGGGCCATCGTCCGCTTTGAATGCAACTCTGGCTATGCCCTGCAAGGGTCCCCAGAAATCGAATGTCTCCCTGTGCCTGGAGCCTTGGCACAGTGGAATGTCTCTGCACCAACCTGTGTGGGTAAGTGCCTGGTCGGCCAAGACAGAGAGGGGTAGGCTGAGAGCAGACCTTTCTCCTCAGCGGATGCAGCCAGTCCTCAGAGATGTCCCAGAGACATTCAGCAGTCCTTTTCAACACCTAAAGAAAATGTCCCATTCGGGCCAAGTCATTCTCGTCTGGTCCTGTGAATCAGTGTGAAGAGAGCATGGAGAAGAGCTGGAAAGGGGGCTATCTATGAAGAGAGGAGCCAGGGTACAAGTCCCTGGAAGACCAGCGAGGTCAAGTCTCAGAGGTGGTTGAGAATAAAAGAGGGTCCCAAAGAGAGAAGCCAGCATGGGGAGGAGGCCCAGCAAAAGCTAGGGACCCTGGGGAGGTAGGACTGGGGATCTGGGATCCAGAGGAGAAACCAGCATAGAGAGGAATTACAGAAGACTGTAGACTCTGAGAGAGGTGAACCTGGGGATCTAGGAAGAAGCTTGCATGTAGAGGTGGCTCAGCAGAGGCCAGAGCCCTGAAGGAGGAATGTGGAGGGGCTCCCATGGAGAGCCACAAACATGAACCTGGGGCCTCTGACCAGAGCTGTGTTTCTTCCCAGTGCCCTGTGGTGGCAACCTCACTGAGCGCAGGGGCACCATCCTGTCCCCTGGCTTCCCAGAGCCCTACCTCAACAGCCTCAACTGTGTATGGAAGATCATGGTCCCCGAAGGTGCTGGCATCCAGGTAGGAACAAGGAGACACTTCAATGAAGTGGCCCTCCCCGACAGGTACTGGTTGTTTTCAGACCTTGAGCCAGGCAGAGCTGGGAGGAGACATATCGGCCCTGTCCTTGGCCTGGTGGCTTTGGAGGCATAGTACACATGAGGAGGGATGGCCCCCAGCAGGAGATCACAGCAGATAGGGGAGAGAAGTGAAAGGAAAGACAGGTAACTCAGGAAGGATGAGAGGTAGCCTTTGACTCCAGCCATCCAGGCTGGCTCAGGGAAGGAAGTGGGCCTGGAACTGGAATATGAAGGTTGGAGGGGGTCCTTGGGAGACCTTCTTCAAATAGTTTAAGGTGTTGTGCTTCAATTGTCAATGAGCTCCTGAGGTCAGGGATCACATCTTACTTTTATGGGAAGGATCCAGGCCCAGAGGAGGTACTCAATCAACTGAATTAACCACAAGAAGGGGGCAGGGGATTCAGGCCACTTGACCAACGCAGTCCTTCTGCCTTTCCAGATTCAAGTCATCAGTTTTGTCACAGAGCAGAATTGGGACTCCCTGGAAGTGTTTGATGGAGCCGATAACACTGTAACCATGCTGGGGAGTTTCTCAGGTAAAGAGGGATATCCAGGGCTTCAGTTTGTAAGGTGGTAGAGACATCATCATCGTCACCATCGTCACCACCACCATCATCATCATCATCTAATCATTGGAATATTAGCATTGTTCTACAGCCATCACTTCTAACTACTCCCAGAGCCTTTCTGTTATCCCGAAGAGAGGCCAAGTGCTATTCACACTCACTCCCCATCCCCCGCACTCACCCCAGCCTCTGGCAGCCACTGATCTTTCCCTGTTGGCTTGCCCTGGCCCAGGCAGTTCATATAAATCTTATGTTCTCTGTCTGTCTTCTTCTACTCAGCATAATGGTTTCACAGTCCCCCCGGTGTCTGTTTGAGCAGCACTTCACTGTGTGGACAGGCCATGGTTTCTTCAGCCATTCATCACTCAGTGGATGTCCACATTGTTTTCAGTATGGTGCTATTGAGACTAGCGCTGTGATGATCAGTCGTGTACCAGGTCTGGTGTCTCATTTGTTGCCAGTCCTCTAGAAACGGAATATGATAGCTCTGTTTCACTTTTTAAGTGGTTACTCTACTGCGCATTGAGTGGCAGGCACGTGCCAGGGAATGGTATGTGGTTTTGCCCAATGGCCAAAACAGTTATCGGAATCTGCTAGGCCCATAACTCCATGCTGCCAAGATAAAGAAATGAGTCGTGCATTCCCAGATAAACTGTCTACCCTGCTGGGCTGACCAGATCATTGTACATGTCAGAGTCATTTTGAAGATGGCTGAGTGGGGAGCAAACTCACCCTCCCACCCTCCAGAACAGTGCCCTCTCCTGCAAGAATCGGGATGTAACCTTGTGCATATTATGGTTCCCTTCACTGGGTCATTAGAGACATGGCATCTGTCATGTAGTGAATTTGATAACTGAGGGCTTTAGAGGGCCCCAGAATGTAGGAGTCAGCAGAAGCAGAGGAACAAGTAAAGCTGAGGCTGGCGAGGGTATGCTTGAATGACCCTTGCTATCTTTGTTATCTTTTTTCAGGAACAACCGTGCCTGCCCTTCTGAACAGCACCTCCAATCAGCTCTACCTCCACTTCTACTCCGACATCAGCGTGTCTGCGGCTGGCTTCCACTTGGAGTACAAAAGTGAGAATTCAGGGTCATGGCTGTGTGTAGGGATCTGGGTAGGAACACAAGGGATCTGGGTCTCCACCCTGAGCAGAGGTTATACTGGGACTGAGTCCCCTCCATCTCGTCTAAGTCTATACTGACCAGAGAAAGCACCTGTGGCCCGAGGAATGTCTGAAGCTTACATAAGTTAACAGTAGGGCAAAGTCAGGCTCCACTGGCTTGTCAACCCTCTGTAGCCTAAAACAGGGTGCCCCCTTTGTGTCTATATCAGAAATAGGAAAGTGCTTAATAATTGGCCTTGGCCCTACTAAATAATTTGAGGTGCTCTCTGCTCCAATTCTGTAAATCAGCCTCTGATACTTGATTTGATGATATGATTATCTTCAAAGTTCCTTCTCTCCCTGAAAGCCTGACTTGCCTTCTACCAGACTCCTACCTCAGGCTCAAGCCCCTCCATTCTGGCTTCCAGTATCCTAAGTGGTCAAGACCAAAAAAACTGAACAGAAAGAATTGTAACTGTGCCTTGTAGGGATGAAGAAGTTTATGGAGGAGGGTGGCCCTCCTCCTGGGCTGCTGGCCCCGCTCCCTTCCCTCACTTGGCACAGGGAGGAATTGGTAGGCAGCAGCATTCGCTGCACAGGTACTCAGTGAAAAATCACCAAGCGCTTTCAACATGCCAGATACTGTGCTGGATCTTGCTAGGATCAGGTAGGATCGAGATTGGTTAGTTCCTCTGGAATCCCAGAATCCTGCTAGAAAGAGGCTGGAGGGGAGAGAAGCACATCACAGCGTTACAAAGTGCTCTTGTGGATAGATGCTTCTGGATGCCAGTGCAGTGGTTCAAAGCTTCTACCTGGAGGGAATGTCATAAAGAGACAGGAAGTGCCTGTAGTGGACCTGGTCTTGTGTTGAAGCCCACAGGACAAAGATGAATCAAAAGCACAAAGGTCCCTACATTCAAAAGCACAAAGTCTAGGGGACGAGACAGGTGTGGAGGCAGGTAAGTCAGGGCAACTCAGTGTGCTAGGGAAGGACCCAGGGAACAACGTCCATGAAGGCCATGCTTGAGTTGGGTTTGGAATGAAAAGCAAGAATGTGAGGAGGCCTAGTTAGCTCAAGCACCTCTGACAACATGGGCCTGTGCATGTGGGAGGCTTTGATGGAGCTAGAGGCCAGAGGGGTCAACACTGGGTGGTATGCAGATCCCCATCTGGGTCTGCTAGAAGAATGAATTCGATCCATGTGTTTGAGGGAGGACATGCTAGAGTCCAGGATTCTCATTATCGGGTGGAGTGCACCTCTGGGCAAGAGCAAGGACAACTTGTAGACATGTCCAGCCTGGAACCCATAGGCTGCACACACCCCAGGACAGCTATGAATACAGACAACATTAAATCGTAAACATTAAGAGTTTGGTTTTCCTGTAACTCAATTACTCAGTTCTCAGAAGTAAACTTTGTAGAAGACAACACTGTATCACAATGTCAAAAGGTTGGACAAGCCGGAGCAAAGACACTGGGGATAGAGGACAGGACAGGAACCCCTGAGACTTCTCCACAGAATCCACTTATTTGGTGGAACGAAATAGCCCAGGCTTCTTGTATAATCCAGAGCATCTCGTTACCTCCTATATTCTGTTCTGTCCAGACTCACTTCTTTATCTAATAAGGTGGATCTTTAATTACTCCCCGGAAGCTTCCCTGTTCTTTCTTCTTCCAAAGGCAGCTCCTTGCTACATTCCCTTGTCATTCTGTGCCTCATTCCCTAGAAAAGCTCAGCCCATCTCTGTTATCCTTATCCAAGGGAACCAGATGCTCTCAGTAGCTGACATTCCTCCTCCACTGTCCTCTCATGGCAGGAAGAGATAGGGAGAAAAAGAGGTGCCTGGACATTGGGAGACTGGAGTTTCTAGGAACTGAGGCCCTGCATTTGTGGGTTTTTTAATATTTTATTTGTTATTTTTATTATTTTATGTGAATGAGTATATTGCCCGCATGTATGTGAGTGCACCCATGTCATGCAGTGCCATGGAGGTCAGAAGAAGGCTTTGGATTCCCCTGAAACTGGATTTAAGGATGGTTCGTAGCCGCCATGTGGGTGCTAGGAATAGAACCTGGGTCCTCTGCAAGAGCAGTCAGTGCTCTCAACCACTGAGCCATCTCTCCAGCCCCTCACTTGTGTTTTTTTTATTTATTATTTTTATTTTATGTGTATGTGTGTATTGCCTGCATGTAGGTAAGTGCACCTGTGTCATGCAATGCCCGTGGAGGTCAGAAGAGGGTGTCGGATCCCCTGGGACTGGATTTACAGACAGTTGTTAGCTGCCATGTGGATACTGGGATTCAAACCCGGGTCTTCTGCAAGAACAACCAGTGTTCTTAGCCACTGAGCCATCTCTCTAGCCCCCCATTTGTATTTTTATAGATAATCTACAAAAAGGGTACAGAAGCTGGGCAGTTGCTATTGTGGAAGTGAATGGTTTTGAAGGGGCCTGTGGAGCCTGGTTGCTGAGAAGCCCACCAATGACCAGGTCCCACTTGCTTTAGCCTCATCCTTGGGATCTCTCATCTCACTCCTGAGGATTTTTGGACATAGGCCCTAACAGGCTTTACTTCCAAGCATCATGGCCATGACTTAGAAGCATGTACAGGACAGGAGCACTCTGGGAAGGGGAAGACAGGATTTATGGGGTGACAGCAATGTCCTATAGTTTTCTGTCTGTTTTTGTTGATGAAAGGGTTTGTGATGCTTGAGATGGAACTCAGGGTCTAGCACTTGCTACGCAAACACTGAGCGACATCCCCAGCTCAATGGCCTCTAGTTTTGATAAGGGTCTTATGGGTATTTAACAAACCTTTATTAAAACGCAATATATATGTACATATACTAATGTAGCGATACTGGGCAAATACAGCATGTATGCGTATCATTTGAATACTTTGTTATATGTAAATTTCCTTCAGAAGAAAAAAATGGGGCTGGAGAGATGGCTCAGAGTTTAAGAGCACTGACTGCTCTTGCAGAGGACCCAGGTTCAATTCCCAGCACCTACATGGCAGCTACGAACC